CGCCCACGGCCTTTCTGGTCTTCCTTTTTTGCATTCTTCCCATATGAGGTCAGTAGTTCCGTTGCATTATAGCCAATTGTATGCCTGGCCAGGTCATTGAGTTCAGCTGTCTCCGATTTTTCCTTATCCATTTTTCTGCAGAGTTGCTGATGCTCTTTAATCCATGTGCTATTTGTCCTCATAGTCTCTCTTATTTACTTTTACTTTCAGTCCTTGCAGTTTATGCTGTCAACTCCGGAGAACCCCATTTTGTTGACTTGTTCATGTTGTGTGGGCATACTAATGAAGAGGGTTATCCTTTCCTTCAAGATTGTACGAATGTTCCATTTCAACGGTACAGGCGGTAGCTTTCGTAGGGGAAGGTAGACATAGTAATCTTTTTACTTCTGTCTCCCTTGCTTACCTTTCATAATCCCTGTCCTGCCATCTGCTAGTCACGATCCGTATATTGCTTCTCCTGGATATCCATTTCCAAGACATAGCTGAATCAGTTTTTCCTGTTCATTCTCCCATAACTTGTTATCGATTGGACGTATAATTCGTATGACCATACTCCTAAGTATTTCCATCTTCATTTCTCAAGCATGGTGACGCTGGAACTTGTGGCTTCTCCCTCTTATGATTTCTCTGTAACAGCCGTTTCTTAGAGTTTTCTCGAAATGAATTACCTCGAAATATAAATAAGATAATTATTTGTTGGCTTACGATTATGGGGCTCACTTGCATTTCGAGTCAAAGTGCCTACGGAAGAGATTCGATTGTTGACCACGCCAGAAGACCATGACAGGTTCTTTCTGGCTAGCTGTCGTTTGGCGCTGCTGCAACATTCTGGTTTATGCTGTCTCCGAGACCGTCTACTTCGATTCAGTTAAAAACATGCAAGGCTTTCGTTTGCCAAAAGCCATACCTCATCAGTCGCACAACTAATTCAAGTTAATGAGTCATAAAAACTCATCGGTTTATCTCTGTAATATGTTATACATTATAAACCTATGCCTTTTATGAAGGATATAGTGATTTGACTCGTTCATCTCATGCACCAATCTAGATTCATGTGCTTGCATATGCTTGTTTGTGGGCAGTGGTAAGAATCCATAGTGGTAGGACCGAGTAACTACAAAAGGGCATAACCTCTGACCTCGATCATAAAGTTGTAAAGATCCGTTTTTTAGCTATCACTCCGATTACGTAATGCCGGGCACATGTCTGGCTAAGCCGATGAACTTTGTGGGCGTGTGGTTGTCGGTAAGTGTTTATCTGATTTCGTATATGTGTGAACGTCCTTATGTGCATATATATATATATGTGTGTGTGTGTGCACATAAAGACGCTCATATATATTTATATATGTTCATGCATAAGCCGGTGGGCTACTTTGACTCTTAACTTCAAATTGATTGCAAAAAAGATACCCTGATTTGGCGATGTGACTCCTATGACGAAAATCAACTTGTCTTAAAGGTCATATGGTGTAGTGACCCACTGGCACCCATTTAAGTATGGTGTAGCCGTAATATGTCGAAAATAAACGCTGCCTGCTCTGTTATCAAATCCTGTCAGGGAGCCGATGAGACCTAGGTGGAAAATGCAGTCGGGTCTAGCCGGTATGAAGGCATCTGCTGAAAGACAAGGTATTGTAAAGCCTACTCCTGTAATTAAGAGAAAAATTCACCATCACTGCCTCATCAACGGAAGTGACTTAGTTTAAACGTAGTTATGAGGACCAATGTATG